TTCGGGAAGAAGGACCCGTTCGTGAGAAGACGTTGGTTAGTAGATGTCGCTAAGGCATTCCGTACTAGCAGTTGTCCCGATGGGGAAAAGATCAGAATTTCTTCCTGTCTTCTGAAATACAAATCTTGAGACTGGTGGGTGGAGGTTGGGCACTCTATGGGTGATGAGGCGGTTGATTCGATGATATGGGAGAAATTTGTGACTAGATTTCGAGCTGAGTTTGTACCGGTGATTGAGGTGCAACAGTTGGCGAGGGAGTTCCAGGACCTTCACCAGACTACTGAGACGGTGGCTGAGATCACTTCTATATTCCATGAGATGGCTTTTTTGGTTCCACAATATGTGGCGGATGAGCAGATAAAGAAGGCGAGATACCATAAGATGTTGAGGAGTGACATTCGACAGTTTGTGAGCCGATCCAGTTGCAAGACACTGGAGGATATGGTTGCAAGGGCCAGAGAGAGGGATATTGATCTTGAGATGGAGAGGACGAGGAAGCCAGATCAGGCTCAAGTTTCAGGGGGTTCGGGCAAGTTCGCAAGAGGCCTAAGGTATTTGATTCAAGATCGACAGGCTAGAAGGGTTGGAGCTGTTGTAGCAAGTGCGGCAAAACGCACGATGGGGCGTGCATGGTGGGTGGTTCTGGTTGCTTTAAGTACGACCGGACGGGTCATATTAGCAGGGAGTGCACTGCTACTACCACCACCACCACCCCAGTATCTGATCTGATTTGCTTCCACTTCAATTAGAGGGGCTACAAGAAGGCCCATTGTATGAGTTTCGCAGCAGCAGTACGAATGGTAGCACCCACTCCACTGGCTCTACGGATTGCTGATGGCCACCAGGGGAAGGCGGATGGGTCTGTGGTGAAGAGCAAGGCTTTTCTGCTGACGGCCGAGGAGGCTTGCGCAACACCTGATGTGATGATGGGTATGTATCTTCTCCTTATCTCTTTACTTATGTTGATTTCTCAACTTATATTTGTGTGTTTTATTTTAGGATCATTCCTTGTGAATGGTATCTCCGCATTGGTATTGTTTGATTCGGGGTCCACCCGATCTTTTGTATCGCCTACGCTTAGCAAGAGGTTTGTTGGAGCTCCAATGGAGCTGGATTGCCCCTTATTGTTGGATTTGGTGTCTAAGCCCATAACTATAATTGGTATGTACTTGAACCGATTGTAGCATGGTCCTTTTGGGTTGCCTTCACTAGTGCAATTTGATAGGATGGATTTTGAGAATAAGGTTATTTATGGTTTATTAATATATTACAAGTATAATATATTAATACGAAATTATTTAATTATTATTGATCAAGAATTAATTTGGAATTAATTTTGTGGTCAAAATAGACTAATTAAATATATGGAGATTGATTATGTAAATAAATAATTCTTGTAGTGTGGGCTAATGATCCATGATTATGGGCTAAACAAATAAGTTAATCCATGGATAGTCCATGGAGGTTAAACCCATGGAGCATAAGAATGTGGAAAGTCATGGAGCATTAGGGTTTACAAAGTGTAACCCTAGCATTTGCAAAACTATAAATACAACCCTCCATGAGCCAAAATCGGTGACACCTTCTCTTTGAGATAAGTAGCTTATTCTCTTAAGTCATCTTTTTGCATATTGGGGTTTGTGAACCATTAGAGGCATCACACTTGAGGTGCTCAAGCTTTCAAAGGTCAAGAACTACAAGTCCTTCTAACAGGTATGTCATCTATCTAGATGTATTATTCATTTGGCAATTTGTATGCTAGTTAGGACAATCCTTTGGAAAAATTGAAAATATGCGTGTATAATAGAGAAAACATAGATCCAAAGCATTTAGGGTTGCATGTGCACCATAGGAGTGTTATAGTGCTCAAAACCCAACAGTGGTATCAAATCCTAGGATTGTTTTCTATTATATTTGATGCTTACTAGTTTTTCAAAGCTGAAAAAGTCGAAATTTTGTCCTCTGACTGGTGAACTCGCCGAGTACATGAACAGACTCGATGAGTCCACTCAATAACATAGCAACTCGCTGAGTCCAGTTCATGTACTCGACGAGTTGAAGGCTCTGTGTGCAGAATTTCGAGTTTCTTGGCCTGGTTTGGATTGGGAACACTACCACAAACTGTTTTGGATCATTGGAAATGTTTCTTTTTATGATATGGTAGTGCTTGTACTCATCCAACCACAAGATAATTGTCAAAGTTTTAAAATAATTGTTGTTTTTATATGATAAACAAAATTGCTTTCAAATTGTTGACTAGAAATTATCTTGATTATGAGTTTAGTTAGATCATAGATTATGTGATAACTTTTGTTGTTTGAAAAATGATCTAAATCAATTTTAATGACCTCCATAACTTGTCTTCAAGTTATGGAAAATGAAAGGTCTCATACATTAAAATCCAATTAAACTCATAAGTTATGAATGTGAAGAGTTTTGACAAGTTCAAAACTTGCCCTCAATTTTTGGAATTTGTAAAGTCACACTAATAAAACTTTAATTCCAAACCCTAGAGTTTTAAAAGTTAAAATTCAACCCTTATACTTTATAATATTATAAGTTTAATAATATATCTATATATATATATTATATAATATATATATAATATGTATAAGACAAAGTCAGTCTTACTGTTAGTAGGCCTCATTCACGAAGCCGGTCTATAAGGGGGTATAAGGTTACTGCCTATAAAATGGTAGTTTAATGGGTGTCCACTCTCACCCACCGCTTCCTTGACTGGTGGAGGGTCGTTAGCTGAACGGGTAGGATAGGACATTAATTCTCCCTCATTAAAAGTATAATGATAAAATATAAAGTAACTAAACTTTTATTAAAATTCCCAATCTTAGTTACTTTAGGAAAAATGTGAAATGGTGCTAATCCATGAAATTACACTTTGCACCTTGTTAAGTCGTTAGTGGAGCGTGTGTGGTTAACCGACACACTAATCTGGGACTGAAAATGTGTGGCAAAGGGTAACTTGGTGATAATCATAAATCAATGGAGCATGTGTGGTTAACCGACACATTGATTAGGTGATTTGTAACATTGGGTGAACCAAGTTAATTTGCATGGTTATTCACTCCTTGTTTGTGATCCTCGACATCCCAATCATAAACGTGAAGGGCACAATTAAGATTTAAACATGCCATTGAAAAGTTCAATGAATCTCAAAGATCTAGAAATTTCAAATCCAATTAAAACTTAATAATCTATTTCGTTTTTCATGGTGGAAATTGATAAATAGTCATTTACCTACCTTCAAATATTTTACAATTGGATTATGGCATCCCTTTTCGCAATTGTAGAATATTGTGTTGGGTCCTAGCCTTAATATTTCATATCACTACAAGAAAAAGACCCTTTTACGACGCGCAAACCACGACACTCATTGATTTATGTTACGCAAAAGAGAGTGACATTAAAAAATTGTCGTCTCATCAAAAAATTTGAGGATTTAGGTCACGCATTATTGTGTGTCCTTAAATTAGTGTCTAAACAAAAAAAACACGGAGGGCCCCTATAATAAAATGTGCGTCGTATAATGATGTCGCTTTATAAATTTTAATGGAACGCGCGTTCCATCCTTTAATAGCAGGGGGAAAATGAAATCCTAAAAAATTAAACAGCCCGCCATCTTTTTCTCCTTTCCCTGCCGCCTACTTCTTCCCTATTGCCCTAACTATCGACGCTCCTTCCTTTCCATATTGTCTCTCTCGGTCGCTACCTAGGGTTTTTTATTGAAAGCTTGAATTGATCGGCTGAGGTAACCAAAGGTCAAGCGAACCAGGAAAGGGTTTTCAGTGAAATCTACTGTTACTCTTTGAAATCGTATCCAATCCTACCTTCGCCCAATCCTTCTTGTCTCTATCGGTCGCGACCTAGGGTTTTTCGTTAAAGCTTGAATCGATCTACTAGGGTAACCAAAGGGTAAGCGAACCAGGAAAGGGAAGCAATAAATCCAACACTCACTCTCAAATCGATTCTACTGGACAAGGTTTTAATTTGGGCTCTCTACATTCTTATCGATTCTACTTTCATTCTACTTTCATTCTCATCGATTCTACTTTCATTCAAGATCTGCAAAAAACTGGTCAGTTCCTTCTATCTAAATCTCTCAATGTGTTTGAATATGTATGTTTGAATCAGGTTAGTTTCCCCTTTGTTGTGCGTTTCGAATAGTCCTGTCAATACCCATTTTTATCAGTTTACTATCCACATTTTTACGTATGAGCATGTGTAGATGAATCATATGGGCAAGGTTTGTTGGTGTTAGAACAGTGTGAATCCAATCGGCATGATGGTAATTCCAAGGGATTAGTTCTTCTTGGATGTCGACCCTTTTGTATGAGAGGTAATTTTTTCCTTTCTTAATCCATACTCCTTTTCACAGTGGGAGTATTACTTCAATTATCTGAGTAGAAGCATTTAAATTTAAGTCATCCATTTAATCTGTTGCTTCTTTCTATTCACAGAGGCAATTTTCATGAAGCTATTGAGAAATTGAATACCATTAAGGACCTAAAAGTTCTTCTTTCCCTCTTAGAGGTAATGCAAAGCAACACCGAATGCATTTCATGTATACGAGTTTGATCAAGTGTAAAAAATTTACGAAGTTCATTTTTATTTCTATGATTTGGTTTAGTGGCTACTATGGATGCCCTTGCAGGACTTTATTTGGAATTAGGAGAGGTAAGCACTGTCTGTTTGTGTTTGTGCTTCAATCTTTTATCCAAATTCAAATACATAAACTCTCTATGTTCTTTGGGTACATAAATATCTGGCTATGGTTCCCTATATAGGATGATCCTTCTTCAGTGATAGCAGATGTTTGCTTGAATGATTTAGATGCTAATAAACCAGAACTTGATGATGAATTTGGCCATTAAATGCTCGTGCAAGAGCATTAAAAGGGCTTACAGAGCTTGTTCAGGGTAACACAGATTCGTGTATGTCCTTGATTTCTAATAGTTGCATCTTCTTGTTTGTATGATAATCTAATGGAACATTTTCTTTATGCATCCCAATCTTGTTTTAATGGAGCTGAAGATAACTTGGGAATTGGTAAACTCTTGCAACTCATGCCTCATTTCATATCAAGAACATTGTTATAAAAAAACAATAATGTTTGTGTAGGGAATGATGCTTTGTCATATGCTGAATTCTTGCATACAACACGAGATTTTGAAACTGCAAAAAAGTTGTATGAGAATGTAATCAAAGGGATACCAGAAAATAAAGATTATAGTGATCCATATAACTTGGCTGTTGGAAACATGGTATGGGAGGATATTCTTTTGGCAGCAACTTGTGCTTTAGGACAACTTGAATCACACATGGGGTAATAGATCATACATCATACATCATACATGTATTTCAGACTTGTTTCTTTCTCTTTTCGTCCATTAAGAGCCTGTTTCTTTTTGTCCCCTTGAAGTCAAAAAGTAACAATACCTTACCCTAAACTGCTTCTTACTCTAAATCAAAACCTTTGGTTACATTATATGAGGTGTGTTTTGTGATTCAGGAACTTTGGTGATGCTGAAGAGATACTAAAAAGGGCACTTACAGTGACTGAAGAACGTTTTGGTTAGTATACATTTGTTGATAATCCACATGTGATTTAAGGTCAACTACTTCTTTTGTGTATTTTGACTCTTATGGATTGCATATGTTGTAGGTTCTCATCATCCAAATATTGGAATAATATTAACTTGCATAACTCTCATGTTTAGGCACAAAGCAACAATAGAGCATTCTAGTTCCCTTATGGTCCAAGAGGTTAGAAATACTCAATAAAACACAATTCATTAAACATTTTATACTCAATAAACTCAATAAAACTAGTCAGTTCCTTCTATCTAAATCTCTTAGTATATTTACTTTATAACTTTTCATCTAATGGCAGATGACACATCAAACTATATCTTGTTTTAGTTTTGATTTGTATTTGTTTCTTTGACTTAGTTTGACTGGGAAGGAGATCTGCCCCTATCATTTTCACAAAGAGATCTGGTAATTTATGAAATGCATGTTCGTGGATTTACAAGCCATGAGTCTAGTAAGACAGAGTCTCCTGGTACTTACCTTGGTGTAGTGGACAAACTTGATCATTTAAAGGTACATGCTCAATAAATCCATAGTTCATTTTTTCACCATCATTGCTATAACTATAAGGTTATATGTGTTTGAATGATTTCTCACTTTTACAAACCACAGAGCTAAAGTGTTAATTATTTAACCTTAAGTAAACTTGTAATAACAATCATAGACTATCTTGTTGTCCCTTTAGTGAGGATCAGTCACTGCAGAAATAATATCTACTTTCATCATAAGCAGATGCTTAATTGTTGCAATCAACAGCCCCAATCATCACATACTGAGAAGGGAATAGAAAATGAATTCCTATTAGCTCTTGTTATTTTATGCATTTAATATGTTCTTGCTATATATAAACATTAAATCTTTGTTGTTTTTTTTTCAAGTTTTTTGCAGATATACAAGTGTTGCATTCTTCATTTCAATTGTTAGTTGTACTACTAATGATGGAAGCTGCTAATAAAAGAAATGGAAGAAGCCGCATGAAACAGATTTTTTGTATGAAACATAGAGTAGATTAGATGAATGCAAATTTATATATTGTAAGATATAGAATTGTATGACATTAAATTTTATGCAATGGATTGTATTTTTTGTATATGGTATTTCATTTCTATTGTGAGACAATAAATGAAAAATTAATTAAAAAATTAATAAATATATAAATATATATTTTTTTAAACATTTAAATTTACGATACGCAAAAATGTGTGTCATCTTCATTTATGACATGGCATTTCTTGACAGGGGTTTTAATGAAACGCATTGCGTGTCATAAATCCATGTCGTCTATAGACGATGCGCAAAAGCGTGTCGTCTCTCGGTATGACAAGGCCTTCTTTGACATGCATTTGCGCGTCGTCTGAGCATTTTACAACACGCATTGCGCGTCATAAAAGGCTGTTTTTCTAGTAGTGATTGGGTGTAATGTTAAGAATTATCATGTAATCTAAACTTTGTTCTTCTTCTTTTACAGATGTCTATCCCAAACAATGCTTCCAACCCAATCCCTTCAGGCTCTTTCTCCCTCATGAACCTATGTGGGAGGGTCATTTTCGATGCTCGAACTTCAATGATTGGATTCGAAACATCAGGATGGCTATTCGCCATGAGGACAAAGAATATGTCCTAGATAAAAAGCTCAAGGAGATTGATGTCACCATTGCTACTCCTGAACAAATCGCTGAACAGACTACTCATGAGAGGGATGCGACAAAGGTGTCGTGTCTAATGATTGCAACCATGACTGTTGAGCTGCAGAAGTCCTATGAGAACTACTACCCCTATGAAATGTATCATGATTTGATGGAAAGATACCATCAAAGTGCTCGGCAGGAGAGGTATGAGATCATTGTCTCCATGATCACAACCAAAATGAAGGATGGTGAACCAATCACGGCCCACTTGCAAAATATGCAGAGATTCGTGGACCGCTTGCTTAAATTAAATATCAATTTTGTTGAAGAGTTGGCCATATATATCATTCTACACTCTTTACCTTCTTGTTATGATCAGTTTCGTATGACTTATCATATGAACAAGGAGGAGGTCACTCTTAGAAAGCTTCAAGGCCTTCTTAGGACTACAGAAAGCCACCTGAAAGGAAAATCGGTTGTGTCTACTCCTACTACTACTTCTGCCCCTGTTCTGGCAATCGGACATGGGAAGGGAAAGAAGAGGAAGGATCCCTCCAAGAGCCGCAAGGGAAAGTCTCTTGATGGATCCTCTTCAAGTAGGACCAAAGTTGGTTTTGTTAATACCTCTTCCAATTCGAAGGAAGCATAGTGCTTCCACTGTCATGATAAAGGGCACTGGAAATGAAGCTACCCCAAGTACTTGCAGGACATTAAGGATGGGAATATCAAACCCTCCTTTGCAGGTATTTACACTATTCAATATAATAACTCATCACATGCTAATTTTTGGGTCCTTTATACAGGTTCTGGTATTCACATTTGTTATGATTTGCAGGGACTAAAAAGAAATAGGGATGTGGAGCACGAGAAGATAAACTTAATCATGGGAAATAGGAAAGTGTCGCATGTGACCAAGATTGGAGTTTATTCTTTATTGCTTAGTAATGGTTTAAATTTAAATCTGAATAATTGTTGTTACTCGACCGATATGGCGAGAAATGTTATTTCCTTTCACAGTTTGTACAAACAAGGTCTTACCTTTTCCCTTAATAATGAAAATGGTGGTATTTATGCTTATTGTAATGGTGTTTTTTAGTTTGAAGGATTACCTTGCAATGGTATATATGAAACTGTGATGATTGTAGATAAGTTAGGAAATAATGTGTGGAATATTGATTCTTCCAATGATTTGGATAAGGCATGCTTGTGGCATTGTCGTCTTGGACATGTCAACAAGAAGCGCATAGTCCAACTCCAAAAGGATGGAGTTTTGGCGTCATTCGACTTAAAGTCGGATGACACTTGCGAATCTTGTTTACTTGGAAAGATGACCAAGTCACCCTTCACTGGTACTTGTGAAAGGGGTGAAGGTCTGTTGGATCTCATACACACTGATGTGTGTGGACCATTCAGAACCGCCACAAGGGATGCTAACCGCTTCTATGTGATTTTTACTGATGATTATAGTAGATATGGGTATATTTACTTAATCAAGCATAAGTTAGAAAATTTTGAAAAGTTCAAAGAGTTTAAGCAAAAAGTGGAGAATCAATTGGGCAGGAAGATAAAGATGTTGCGATTCAATCAAGGAGGAGAGTATCTTAGTATCGAGTTCCTTGTCTATCTTAAGGAATGTGGAGTTGTTTCACAATTGATGCCACCTAGGACACCATAGCTTAATGGTGTGGCTGAGAGGCGCAATAGAACCTTGCTAGACATGGATCGTTCCATGATCAGTCGAGTTTCGTTACCTATCTCATTCTAGGGGTATGCCTTAGAGACTGCCGCCCATATCCTTAATCTAGTCCCTACCAAAAATGTTTCCAAAACACCTCATGAGATGTGGACAGGGAAAGTTCCCACATTACACCACATCAAATTTTGGGGTTGCGAGGCTTTTGTGAGAAAATAAACTCACGACAAGGTCGAACCTCGGAGTGAGCGATGTATTTTCATCGGCTACCCACAGAAATCCTTTGGATATCTCTTCTATAGACCGAGTGACAATGTTGTCTTCGTTGCAAGGAGAGGAGTCTTTCGTGAGCGATAACTCATAGGCCGAGGAAACAATGGGAGGAAAATTGACCTTGAAGAGCATCAAGAGTCAAGTGGTTAAGGAACCTCAAACACTAGCAATCAACCTGAGGAGGAAAATCTGGTTGATCCAATTGACAGGTCGTTACCTCTGAGGCGTTCCAGTAGAGTTAGAAATACACCTGAGTTTTATGGTTTCCATATTACTACTGAAGGTGATACATTTATCAGTGATAGCACACTGATAAATTTGGATGAACCTAACAACTACAAGGAAGCCATGGCAGGCCCCGAGTCTGCAAAATGGAAAGAGGCTATGGACAGTGAGATTCAGTCCATATATGACAATCAAGTTTGGAACTTGGTTGATAATGTACCAGTTCGTAAGACAGTCGGGTACAAATGGATCTTCAAGAAGAAGACTGACATGGATGGGAAAGTACACACATATAAAGCGCGACTGGTTGCGAAGGGCTTTACTCAAACTCCGGGAGTTGACTATGATGATACCTTCTCACCAGTAGTGAAGATTAAATCTATAAGGGTTATGTTGGCCATAACTGTATTTCATGATTATGAAATATGGAAAATGGATGTCAAAACCGCTTTCCTTAATGGAAAGTTGGCTGAAGATGTTTACATGAGTCAGCCAGAGGGTTTTTCAATGAAAAGTACCCTAATAGAGTGTGTAAGCTTGACAAATCCATTTACGGATTGAAGCAAGCAGCTCGTAGATGGAATCTTTGTTTTGATGAGAAAGTCAAAGAGTTTGGATTTTCGAGAAGCGAGGATGAACCATGTGTATATGTCAAAGCTAGTGGGAGTATAGTGAGCTTTCTGGTATTGTATGTAGATGACATACTACTCATAGGAAATGACATCCCAACCTTGCAGGAGGTCAAGTCCTGGCTTAAGAAGTGTTTCTCTATGAAGGACCTCGGAGAAGCTGCCTATATCCTAGGGATGAGAATATTGAGAAACAGAAGTAAAAGACTAATAGGGCTTAGTCAAAGTACCTACTTGGACAAGGTGTTGAAACGTTTCAGCATGGAGAACTCCAAGAAAGGTGACTTAACTATCCAAGGCAATGCCAAACTGAGTAAGACTCAGAGTCTGAGTACAGAGGCTGAAATAGCAGAAATGAGTCATATACCATATGCTTCCGCAGTTGGTTCGATCGTGTATGCTATGACTTGTACTCGCCCTGATGTAGCCTTTGCTTTGAGCATGGTCAGCAGATATTAAGGGAATCCTGGTAAATCTCATTGGATTGTAGTTAAGAACATTCTTAAGTACATGCGGAGGACTAAGGACTGGGTCCTTACCCTCGGTGGGAGTGATGACTTGAGAGTAACAGGGTATAGTGACGCCAGCTTCCAAACCGACAAAGATAATTTATGCTCTCAATCGGGTTAGGATTTTACCCTGAATGGAGGAGCAGTGACATGGAAAAGTTCCAAGAAGGAGATAGTAGCCGATTCAACATGCGAATTAGAGTACATAGCAACAAGCGAAGCATCGAAGGAGGCGATATGGTTAAAAAACTTCATCGGAGACCTTGGAGTAATTCCATCCATAAAGGAGCATGTGGAAATTTTCTGCGATAATGAAGGGGCGATGGCCTTAACCAAGGAACCGAGAGATCACGGTAGATCTAGACATATCGACAAGAAATACCAATTCATAAGACATCAAGTAGAAGAAGGGCACCTCGTGGTAAAGGGGATATCCTCAAAGGACAACCCAGCAGACCCCCTTACAAAGGGACTGACTAGGGTTAAGCACTTGCAGCATGCGAGGGGCATTGGGCTAACGGGCGATATTAGTTTTAGTAATTAGATAAATCGAAACTTGTAATAGCTAAAT